GAGAGAGAGAGAGAGAGAGAGAGAGAGAGAGAGAGAGAGACGATGACGAGGAGGAGGGAGAGAGTGGCATCTTTGGGGATAGGGTTGAAGCTGACTGATATAAACTAAGCTGCGACGACGAGTGCAATTTTCAGTAATTCCCGGATTTCTCGATTATCCGTTGTAGTCTGTTCTCGATAACGTAGTTAACCAGTTTGCTATACAGCTGGAAATGTTGATTGGAGCTCATGGTAACCAAAAAAATGTGTCTGGTACTCTTGGGCCGTCTAGCAGAGGGATTTCGCGAAATATGCTATGATCAGCAACGGTTATATTTTATCATTCACCGTCAAGCGTTCTACCCGAATCGAGTGGACTGTGTCTGTGGTATATATAGTTGTCATCGGGAGGTTGTCATCGGGAAAAGATTTAAAAATACCGCATCCGGCGAAAACGCGCCGAAAATCCGGGGCGATCTAATAGCGATCCCGTGTTTAGCCGAGAAGATACGGTAGGGGGCGCAATGTGCGAGCATCAAAGCTTCGTCAATTTCTATGAACAGCGGTGATAAAAAAAATGCATGTGAAAAGAAGTATTGGCTAGGAATTTGGCCGCTGCGGCTGCGGCTGCGGCTGCGGCTGCGGCTGCGCGCCGGGTAGTATTTACGCTCTAAATACTAGCCCGCAGCCAAATCCAGTGACCAAAGCTTGCGTAGTTGAAGGTAACAAGTGTGCGGAGGGGGAGTCCAGCAGTGACAGTGCAGCTTTTTTTTGGCCCGCTTGCCGGCAGCGGGCAGCCAGCTGCTGTACTTGTACGCCTATGCGGCCTATAGTCAAGCGTGGCTGTAGAAACCGGGTTTTTTACGCGGGCTATGTACGAGGGGAGAGCACTTCAGTCAGAGCCCGGTTGGGCTTATATATATGAACGCCGATAGGCTCCGATAGGCTACTGTTTCAGAACGATATATTACTGGGTCAGGTGTACACAAATTCTAGAATAAGATATAATCAACACGATCCATAAAGTTTATGGGTCAACAACTAAGCTATAATATCATATGTGAATATACGTTTGAGATATGTACCAATAATGTGAATTTTAACCGAGTTTCAGCAGGCTACGCAATAGAAACACCATCATGATTTCGCATTGGCACATTTCCTCATTGATCTATTTCTGGTTTTACTTGAAAGAAGTATACGAAAACGGCTGTGCAGATACTGATATACTTTCTGTTAGGGCTAACTATAAAGCTGTATTAAAATTGGAGATTTCTGCAGCAGTAACAACATAATATTTAAGTGAATAAGATAACTAATTACAGAAATTTCTTGGTAATTTTGGCCTCGTACGAACCACGCCGCCACTACGAAAACATTACTAAATCTTTTTGTACTTGCGTATGCTGTTAGTAAATTGATAGTGAAACTAGTTGGGACAGCTCAATTTCCTTTGCATACAATGGATATATATGCCCTCATGTTTACCGTTTGAAGTTTTTGAATAGTATTTCTAAAATAGTAACAATACATGCCGGCTTCAAAACAGTTTAACAGTAGGTTGAATAAAGCTATAGACTTAGTGACAGAATACACGGGGCCGACCAATATATCAGCTTTTAAGTGGCGTCGTTGGTTTGTAAAATGCACTTGCCATTCTGCAATTTACGTACATACAAACGAGTATACATAAAACCTTTTCAGTGTTCATTGCGCAGAGTTGGTAACTATTGTGGTCTCTAATATTGTGCACATTCTCACGTAGTGTAAATTACGATAGCAATACGTAAAGGAGAGTCTGTGTTTCTGCAGTGTTTATCACCCTACCACTTAGCGGTGTTGTATTCAAGAGGAATATATAATGGTGTGTTCATGCTTTAAAGACTAGTATTGACATCAACAAACTAGGGCTATACTTTTTATGTTAATAGGCATAGAACGCAGCGGCCATTAATTTTAGTAGAATCTACCCTCTTAATATAAAGGTTCAACACAATATGGGTTAGATTCTGTCTTAGCAGACCAATATTTTAATCATCGTCTAGAAAAGTCGTCTAATCATCAGTATTTAAAACAATTATTTCTAGATATTAAAAATGTCTGTCTGAGAAAAAATGTAAATGACATCTCAAACGTACCTCATATGTTTGGCAAAATCACTTGACGAATCACCGTGTGCTACACGACCATGTGGTTATTAGTAATGTCAATAACCCAGTAGAGGTGTACATAAAAGTAGGGACAGTCAAAGAACAAGGAAAGGGAATCGGATTAGGTGGTAGAGAAGGGAAAGGAGAAGGAGGAAAGCAGGAATAGGGGAGTGTGGGAAGATGAGTTAAAAGAAGAAGAGAAAAGATGGCCAGGAAGTGGAGGGTGGGGCAGAAACAGTAGGGACATAAAGGAATGTAAAGCAGTAGATGGGAATGGAGGCCGATGAAAGAACGGTTAGGTGTGGTGGCGAAGTGAAAGCATTGCACTGGGTGGTGTGAAAAAGGAGGAGTGGTGGTAGAGGCGGTGGCTCTGTGTCATCTTGCAGGTAGACAGCCACGAATCTTACGTCCATACACCAACTTTGTCGGTTACAGAATACTTTTAAAATAAACGTACTATGCACCCTGCTTCCATGGTCTTCAGTGCAAGTCTGCATTAAATGCATGGACACTGTAATCTCAATGTACGGTTATGTTTGCCCGGCCATTGTGAAATTTCCTACCCCACCAATTCTACTCCTCCCACTCTCCTCCTCCCCAGCTTCCTCCTTAGTTACTGCCGTAAATTGCATGCATAGCAGTGGGCAAACGGCGGCTGTCCCTCTGTCTAACTGCCCGATTGGCAAACAAAAATTGGGCCGATTAATAGGAGCATAAAGATAGTGATAAAAATCGTTCACAATTAATTAACATGGGTGGGAACTGGTGCAGAAAAATCGCACGTGTTAGACTAATGAAGCCTAATGAAACATATAATAAGATATATTTCTTATATATATATATATTTATTTATTTATTTATTTGTTACGAGGTTACTAAGGTAAATAAAAAGGTACATGTGGGTAAAGGTAATAGTAACAAGTGATTGACAGTGTTCACAACGAGAATACAGCAGAAAATATGAAGGTTGAAAAGAAAAATCTAATTTTTACATAAAAATGTTTATTTCTCATGTGCATACTACATTTGATTATTTCATGCAGGGTTAATAATAAATATCTTTTAGACAAATGTCAATTCCACGTTCACTGAAATAAGAAAGGAGGTTAATTGATAAACTTGGTGAAATCTGCAGAAAGACACATTATGATGCTTCTGCTATGACAGACGACACTGTCTCTGTGCAAAGTTGTAGTAGTAGGAATAAAGACTTCTGACTGCGTTATTGCAGCGAAAAACGCCCGTGCCCTGGTAGATACAGAGACTTAGTAAGGAAGTCGTGACACTGGCAGGAATATAAACTGCCTTCGTACCGAATGCCTTACCCAAGTAGAAATGGAGATTGCCCTAATAAACAGAGAAAGAATTAGCTTGTAAAAAAAGATGTACCCGTTAGCAGTTTAACTTCAACATCAAGACCCTGCTTAATCAAAACGCACGTTGGTTCCAAAGATGAGGACTCCTGAATCAACTGCAATGGGAGTGAGCAGCATGATTAGAGTTGAGATGGTGGCACACTAAACAGGCAACGCAAGAAGACACGACGCTAGTAAGAATAGATACCGCAAAGGCAGGTCGCTGTCTCAGTAGATGAGGAGTACACTGGTGTGAAACACCAGAAACTACCTGAGCGCCAGTGATAATGCCTCATCGGGGAGGGACACTGTCGCCGAACAATCCAATCACCTAGACACTTGGTCCAATAATGCGATTCGAACCACTTTCACTGGCTTCAAACGCACTGTAATTGGCCAACACATCGGTCAGTTATAGCGTCCCCGTGGTGGAGCTCAGCATATAGCAGCACACAGTAGTCCGGGGGAAGAGTAAGTCAAATAAACGAGCAAGCACATGGTGAATTTTCAACGGCTATGTAAACCAAAAGCGCATTCATGAATAGATTTGGCATCCATCCATTCGGAATACTCTTGCTCATGGACGGCAAATCTCAGGTGTGCGTTCACATTTTAATTCTCTTCAACACCTATGCGTGATTCCTTGTAGAGAACTTGTAAAGGGTGGAAACCATTCACTTACGTCGAACCACAAGCATACCAGTTTCTTTACGGCAGCATACAAACAAAGATGAACGTTTGAAATGGAGAGTCAAATTGGGTTTAGGCAATACGCGGTTCCAAGAATATGTAATCGTAGCCACAAAAGAACCATCAGCGAAAACTGAAAACTGAAGCCATTCTCTTGCTTTCTCTGAGGTTCGCTGGAAAGCCACTACGCACAGTGAGCGGTATCTGCTTCAGCTATGTTTGATCAATAGCACGAACAAGTAACGCTACCTAGTAGCCCTAAAAGTTCGCGTGCGCTGTTCTTTGTGGCCGATCACTTCACTGTCTCAGGATTCCGATATTGACTGTATGCGTGTTCATACGCACGCACGCACGCACGCACGCACGCACGCACGCACGCATAATAATATACGTTACTGCTAGAAAGGTCATATAGCTCAATAAATGTTGTGTTTGTTTTGATTTCTTAGGAAGTCTTGAAAATGCTACAGAGAACATCAGGAAGAGAAGTGGTTTAAAGTTCCAACTGGGGAAGTTATCTGCTGGTGATGCTGTCGCCCTTTTATTTGAGTCATGGCTATCTCAAATCGATCCCAATACAGGTAAGATCATTGTAAACTTGAATGTGAGCTCGTGTTGGGCCATTCTATCAAGAACCTATCCAGGAGTGATATTATACCAGTCCTATGACTTAGTAAAGCTGCATAAAAAATACAACCACACTGTCACATATTGTACAGGTTATGTTATATCGAAACACAATTTGTGAGCCGCTAATAGTTAGTTATACGTTTAGACGTTTAGAGGATGCATTTAAGCTATTATGTACCTGAACCAATGTTTGCTATTATATACATAATACAATTGAAAAAGAAACATATTCATATCCATGCTGACAAGAAAAATCTGGTTGCTGCTTTTTAATAAATATACTTTACACATAACCTGTGTGGGTTGCCCACGTTGTAACAATATGTCGTGAACTGCATACAAATGTATTTAGAATCGGTCGTATACGGTCCTTGATTATACGTGTAGTTACATTGCACACTGGCGACATCTACGTTCAAATATGAAGTTCGCCGTTGTTAGCAAACTGCATGCAGTGCCCCTTCCCACACTCAGGATTGAATTGAATTGAGCCAGAGCGAGAGCGCCATCTGTCGTGGAGTTTGCGTTGTTAGTTAACAAAACTGTTGAAACGTTAGGTTTCATTGTTTTCTGGCGGTAGATGGAGCCACTTTATTGAACGTTACAGCTATGCAGTATTTTGATGTTTATAATTAAGTATTCTATCAATAGGTGGCACCACAAGTTGTGCTTTCTGTCATTGCAGCTTGGGTTCCTCTGGTTAAAATTTAATTTATAATAAAATTTAGTTAGAAACTTTTGTTCGAGATGTATTATATTATTATTAGGGGATTGAACCTTACACAACTAAATATTATACAACTACTTACTAGGAATACATAATATACACAATGCATTAATAAACATCATTATAGTGGATATATGTGTGGATCTAGTGGTATAAATATTTATATATATCCATACATGGTTTCCTAAATTGTATATTCGAAATTCTGTTATGCCTCGCATGCAGGCACACGCGCGCACACACGCATACGCACGCGCGCACACGCACGCACATACGCCACACGGACACAGACACCCACACCTACAGACACACACAGGCAGAGGCTGAAAGTAAATCATGTGAGACAGTAGAACAGGCAATAAATCTCGTATCAAATAGAGATGTTGATAAGTGTTATCTTGTATGATTATTATGTAGTATGTAGTAAATGTAACATTTTACGATGATAAACTTGATTAAGCATTTATATGTTGTGTCCCCTCAGGTTTAGGTTGATAGCAAATTTGTGCTTATATATGAGTAAAACCATGCTTTCCACCCCATATTGATTATTTCAGTTATCATCAAAATGGACAATAAATTTAAATTATCATTAAACTGGTTATAACCATAACTGGTACTGTTAAGACTAGTAGTTGGTACTAACTACGCTACCTCTCCGTAGGTTAGATTGGGTTAGTTACAGTTAAAATCTATTGTAATTCATAACTCGGTTTGAAGCATTTACTCATCACACGGTTTGGGGATGTTTATGCTATCCATGGTTGTAGGACAATGTATTATATTATTAAAAGATAGGATTAATTTTAATATTGCACAAATATTAAACAATGCTTACCAATAAATGCTTAGATGGTTGTGTCAGGCAGTGTATGTCTATTCTGAAATCGCCCTTAATTTAGCTGTATTATAATTATTCATATGTAAATAAATGGTTTCTTTAACTGATTATGGATTATTGCGTATCAGCTGCATCAGAGTACATGTCGATTGGAAAAATTTATATTGGGTGTATTATATATATATGTATATATATATATATATATATATATATATATATACATATATATAGACTGTTAATTATGTCTAGTAAAAAATACGAGTAAAGAAGGAGAGGAAAGTGAAAAATGACAGGAATGCTTTTAGAGCAATTATGACCACAGGAAGCAACACACGTCTGTGGTTACAAACCCTATACTACGTGGTCTTTGCTAAAAGAGACCCCCATGTCGAATATTGCTCAGCCTGGTTTAAAATAGGAGTGTCGTGTCATTAAAACAATACAAGGTCTATATGTTCTAATAGAACCAATGTTACTAGGTAGGTATTCAACCCTATGTCTGGCTTTCATAAATCGAGTGCAATGAATTTTCTATCATCCGTAGATTGCAGATGCAAGCTCTGCTGTGCTGTGTGACTCACCCTTGCTATGAAAGGGTGATGGTTCTGCCTTAGTGCTATCAAACATTCCCCTTCCTTTTATGTATCATAACAGTTTGCGAATATATTACGAGAGGTACGTATTTGCCAAGTGGGCTTACCAATCCATCTACCAAGAATTTGAGCCGATTGTGATACATATGATATAGGTTACCCACCATACAGTAATAGCATGAAATTCAACATAAATGCTTACGGTTTTCATTTTGCTGTAACGACTCCAGTGTCTACTTGTGAAATTACAGAGCTCACATGGGCACTTGCTTGATTGTGGAATGTGTAAATGATTATTTTTGTCGTATTTGTTATTCGATGTTATCCACTACTAAACATTATATTAAATAAAATACGTGGCCCTTGTTTAGAATGCTGACCAAAGCATCAGAGCGTTGGAAAAATGGTCTATGTCCATTCGTTATAGATGGAAATTATGGGTAATTTTTTGTTAAGTTAGATTTCTTTGGAGATAATGCGTAAGCCGGTGATAAAAGAAAATGAATCTGGCTATAGGTTGCGTATATTGAGAGAATGTATGCACACTCCCTACGCTACGCTCGCCCTTCCCCTTCAGGTTATAAAAGCCTGTGGCCACGAATACAACCCAAACAGTATTTCAAGTTTTTAATCAAGAACCAGGCTTATTTCAGATTAATGACAGTTGGATCTAATTTAATCAAGATTAGCCCAGCTATATAAAACACTGTGATTCTAAGTTCTTCCTGAGTGTTCAATGGAGTTATATCTAATTTCAAAGAAAATCATTATACACGGTAAAATAGTGTTATAACTATATCAATAACAAAACGTCATGTATAAATGTTCGTTGATATTGCTGGTAAATACAAAATAATTAGTGCAACCCAGTTAATAATCACGAGATTCAGATCAGAATCTCTTGCCAGTCTTGAAACATATTAGATATTTATTAACAGTATCAAGCATGTTGTTCACCGATGTGGCTTTTGAGAGAATACCAGTATAGTCATATTATTATGCTCTCCTTCAAGTAAACACGTTCTCATTTACTCCAGCGAACATTTATAACATTGCTTTGCTGTTTTGCCGCACGGTTATTTATTTTCTCGTTCGATTTCTTACTGTCCTAATAGAACCTAACTTGGCCGCCACTTCTGTGCAAGAAATATGACAGTTTCCTAACCTGCTTGCATTGATCTGGTTGTTTGATTATCATCGTGTGTATTTGGGCTTTTGGAATAGTGGACCATGACAAAATAACGTATACGCGAGTACACACGCGCGCACTCGCACGCCCTTACGCACGCACCTACGCACGCATGTACAAACCGAGATGGGGTATGAACAGAGACATCAGAAGAAAGTGAGTGCGAGATGGCGGAATAGGCGAGGAAAGTAACCTGGAAGAAAGTGAGTTAGTGAGGGAGGGAGAGAGTGTAGCAGTAGAGAGAAATATAGATGGAGGAAGGGGAAGCGGTTGATGGAAGGAGAGGAAGAGACATCGATGAAAGTAGAGTCGGGGTGGGGAAAGGACACAAGAAATGGATGGAGGGAGGAGAGGTGAGATGGAGGGGGAGCATGTGAGTAAGAAGAAGAGAGAGTGGACAGCGGAAGAGACAAACTGGCAGAGACAGACAAAGTGAGATGAAGACAACGAGAGGAAGATAGAAGAAGATCGAGAAGGAAAAATAAGGGAAAAGAGAGATAGAGAGTGAGAGAGAACGCGAAAGAGAGAAGGAGGGAAAGAAAGAAAAACCGAGCTGGTGGGGAAGCAGAGAGAAACGCAGGGACAGGCAACGGGGGTGAGAAAGAGCGACAGAAAGAGAGAGAGAGAGAGAGAGAGAGAGAGAGAGAGAGAGAGGAGAGAGGGGGGGGGAGGAAGAGCGTCAAAGAACAAATTAGGCAAGAGATGAGAGTGAGAAGGGGCAGAGAGGAAGAGGGACGTTATGAGGTTGGGATATATATATATATATATATATATATATATATAATATGGGGCGTATGTGCGAGGAGAGAAGGAAACAACGGACACACACACAACGAGAGAGAAGAACGTGAGGCAGAAGGAGAGGAAAATAAAGGGAGAGAGAGATGTGAGAGACAGCGGGAAAAAGACACACACGAAGGGGTAAGGGGAGAGAGGGAGTTTGAAGGCTCTAACAAGAGATAATGGGCGAGGGATAGGGAGAGAGTGAGAGAGAGTAGGAGAGTGGGTGAGAGAGTGGGAGAGAATTATAAAACGAATGTGGGGTGAATGAGAGTGAGTGAATGAGAGAGGGAAAGAGCGTCAGGTGAAAGAAAGGGGGACCTGAAGAGAGAGAGAGAGAGAGAGAGAGAGAGAGAGAGGACGAGAGAGAGAGAGAGAGAGAGAGAGAGAGAGAGAGAGACAGAGAGAGGGAGAAATGGAAGAATGGAAAGATGACGAGAGAGAGAGAGAGAGAGAGAGAGTAGTGGATGAGAAAGAAAGAGTAAATAGGGAGAGATGAGAGAGAGTAATTGAATGACAGAATAAGTCGAAGCTGGAGAGAAGGAAGAGAGAGGGGAGCCGAGAGAGAAGGAAGAGAGCGGGGCGAGAGAAAGAGCGAAGGGCTAGAGGGAAAGAAACAGGAGAGGCGATATGGAGAAAGGGAGAGGGGAGAAAAGGTGTGTGTGTGCGTGCGTGCGTGTGTTCGTGCTTACGTACGTAGGTACGTGCGTTCGTGCGTGTGTGTGAGTGAGAGCTAGAGAGTGGGAAGGGGAGAGGAAATCGAGAGCGGGGTAAGTAGAAAGGGAGAGAGTACAGAAGAGGGAGAACGGGAGAGCGGCGAG